ACACACACACACACACACACACACACACACACACACACACACACACAAAAGGACATGTCAAGTTATTCAAACAGCTCCAAAACTGAGGGAGAGGATGGGCTTTGCACCACCCAGCTCACTAGAGGCAAAGCCAGTTTGAAGCACAGAAGAGATCTGTGTGTGTGTGTGTGTGTGTGTGTGTGTGTCTTGGAACCATGTTTAAGGCAGTTCTCACAAGCTGCTTTTCCTTAATGGTTGTGTTGCAATGCCAGTTTGACTCCAGACCATGATTGAGCTTCTCTAGACCAGCCCGGGAGCCTTCATCGACAGCTTCCTTGGGCTGTGGATAGAAACCAATCCCTTGATTCAAACCACACTCAACCCGTGTGCAAAATACAGGTAGTTCTCGACTTACAACAGTTCATTTAATGACCGTCCAAAGTTACAACGGCACTGAAAAAAAAGTGACGATGACCGCTTTTCACACTTAAGACCATTGCAGAATTCCTATAGTCATGTGATTTAGATTCGGATGATTGACAACTGACTCACATGTACGGCGATTGTCATGTCACACAATCCCTTTTTGTGACAGTCCGACAAGCAGCGTCAATCTGGGAGAAACCAGATTCACTTAAAAACCACAATGACTAATTTTCTAACTACAGTGATTTTCGCTTAACAACCGTGGCACAAAAGAGGTCGTAAATGAGGCAAAATTTCAACCAATGTCTTACTTAACAAACCTAAATTCCAGGCCCAATCGTGGTCGTCAGTTGAGGACGACCTTTTAAACCTCTTGAAATGGCAAAGTCTGAAAAAAGCCTCTCCCAACTTTCTTTTCCCCCAACCGTCGGCAACCCTTCGGCTTGAGGGACCTGCCGAAAGAGCCTCAAACATTTCAAATCTTGATTAAAGCGAGAGAAATTCTCTCCCGATTTCACACAATTTTCACCTTCCTTGTGCTCTTAAAAAATGTGCAAAGGTTGGAAGCTCGTAAGCCATACTTAATATTTGGAAGGCCCAGACAAATAAACCAGGTTTTTGAGATGGCTCCTTCACCTGTGTTTCAACTAAGATGGCCGGCTTGGGTTCCTCCCACAGGGCCAGGTTGTCTTCTTCTTGGAAAAGAAAGCCGAAATATTAGTTTTATGGGGTGCCCCAAAGAAGGAAGGGGTCCCCGACGAGGAGAAATACAGATTTCCTGCCGATGGACCCGGCTGTCCATCTTCTTGGCCCGTTTCAACGCTAGGCCTTGTTTTTCTCAAGGTTCACATTCCAGATCTTTTTTGTTTGAAAAACGCCTGACAGGAGGTTTCATTCTTCCATCTTTTGACAGATGCCTGAAGAACAGGCCTTCAGTGTTCTGGTCAAAATCATGTTTGACTACGGACTCAGGGAGCTTTTCAAACAGAATTTTGAGGACCTGCACTGCAAGTTTTATCAGCTGGAACGCCTGATGCAGGTAAGAATGTCTCTTAGCACAGTGGTCACCACCAACCGGCGGGGCAGGGACCACTGGTGGTCCGTGAGAAAATTTTAGTAGTCCTCAGAGAAATGCCCCCACCTCCCCAAAGGAATTAACCCAGGCTGCATGGGAACACAAGGCTGCGCCGCCCACATGGCCTGCCCACCCACTGGCCCTTACCTTGAGTAGAGCCACATGAAGTGGAACTGGAAGGTAAGACCAATGGCGGGGGAGGGAAATCCGCCCCGGGGTGGCTTGCTGACGTTGGTGGGAAAGTCGGTCCCATATTCCAGAGCTGCCGGAGTCACAAGACCCTTTGGTCACCCCGGAGCAGCTGCTCCTCCACCTGGGTGTACCAGCCTGCCATGGACTGGAGCAGCTGCTCCGGGATGACCAAAGGGCCAGTCCTGTGATTACTGCAGCGCTGGAATATGGGACCGACTTTCCCACCAATGTCAGCAAGCCACCGTCAGTCAAAATCCATATTAGTGGTCCGCGGGATTTAGAATTATACGTTTAGTGGTCCCTGAGGTACCAAAAGGTTGGCAACCCCTGACTTAGCACATCTTTCTCCTTTTGTCCCGGCCACTTTTTACAGGGGCACAACTGAGAGTGTTTTAACAAACCGCATCCCCTGTCTGATTCGATGGCGGCAGCACCTCAGATAGAAAGTCCCTACAGAGAGTGGTGAGGCCAATGGAGAAGATTATAGAAAGCCCGCTTCCTATTATTCAGGATGCTGCTTATAAAC